CACTGGTGCGCCTCCGCCCCCCCCCCCCCGTCGGAGGGCCGCAGCCCGAAAAGGCAACGTGGGCCCCCCTTCCGCACTGCCTGTTAGTAAAAGGCCTTCGATCCCCACCGACACAAACTCGTTGTCGGGGCGGCGAACGCGACAGGGACAGGAGCCCCCGAGCTAGCGTGCCAGGTTGAGAAGTTCCGACTGGACATTGTCGGGTTGGCCTCCGCACAGAGTTTGGCGTCTGGTCGCAGTTGCGAACGTCTGATTTGGTCACAGAACGAAGCCAGTTGTTAGTGGGCATGACCGGTCATTGTTCTTACAAGTGATTGCCCATCGAAAGAATTGACTCCCTTCGACAAGACAACGCCGAGGGTTGAGCAAACTGAAAAAGGAGGAGGAGGATTTGGGAGGCGCGAGGATTCAACCCGACGCCAGACCGTTTTTTTATTCCCCCAAATAGCACAAGTTTACTCGTTGAGCGGGAGCTTTCCCTCATTCAAAAACAAATACATGAAGTGCTTGGTGTCGGGGAACAAATTCCACTCGTGTTTCATGGCGCGAGTGGCAACTCAGAGTTGGCCCGAGCCTTCCGATTTCCGTCCTCTTGCCCATCAAGGCTTTCCCTGCATTTTAGATGACAGGAATGCAGAAGTGGGTAACAGAGGGAGCGCAAAAAGCAAAGCTGAACATGGGAATTGCCACGTACGGTTATGACACCAACAACGCCAATACAAGGATCTGGGCCAAATACCAGGTACAACCCGAGACCGCAGAGCATTCAAAGCAATGAGACGGCACCACGGCAAACCGAGTCCATCTTTCAGGTCTGCGATGACAATTTGTTGCCTCCCACCACGGTTGAAATTGACAACAATCCGACCATCGGCGCCAAGGTACGTCAAATAATCAAGCAAAATTCTCGGGGCCTTCCTTCAGATGTGAACCGTTTTTTTTTTGCCTCCCCGTCCAGGCCCATCACATCGTGGATCGGAACTTTGGAGGAGCCTACGTGACTTCTCTGGAACTGGACGACTTCGATGGAGTCTGCAATGCGGGGAACTATCCTGTCTTCCGGCGTATCAAGGCCATAATCTCGAATTAGAAAGCGACGATCGCGCGCACGAGGGTGAAGGCGACTCTCCTGCCCTCTCGCAAATCCCCCTTCGCTTACTTGGGACGCGGGCCCCCGCTTGAGACTTGGCCGGTCTCAGCCCCCACGCTCGTCATCGCAATTCGACAAAATGTACAAAAACGCCAAAGAGCAACGCGCAGCGTTACAAAGAGACACACTGACCAAATTTGGGATGGACAGCAGACAAACACATGAAGATTGATTAAATAAAAAAGTCACCGAAACAAAAGGACCACTCGCAAAGATTCAGTTGCAGCAATGAGGACAAAATAAATGTTGTATGATCGGATAAACAATCTCTCAAATGTGAAGAACCGAAGAAACTCTCGGCAGCTTTAGCCGAGTCTTTCCAAAAAGTCTCGAAAAAATGGCAACGTTGTCCCAAAAGCAGGAAAAAAATGAATCATTCCAATTTGTACAAATCTGATTTTGCCCAGCACAGAATTGTTTGCTCTTTGACATTTTGCGATCAATCGAGGCTTTGTCAGCAGCCAGCGATGACACAAGACGTATCTGGTGTGCCTCTCTCTTTTCCTTGCTCAACCAAAAGCAATAAAATGTGTCAAGACACAACAAGGCGTGGATTGTTTTCTCTTGATGCTCGACAAAAACAAAGCCTTGGAAACTTTCGCTTCGCCGCTTGTGACGCGTCGCAACGAAAAAGAGATTGTCTTTTGACAGCGATGTCCCGAAGCGACACGTACGCTGCGCTGACAGCGTGGCAATATGATGACATCACAGAAATGGCCGCCTGGCGCGCTGCTGCGTTCGCGACACGGGTGTGACCTGGGACAAAAACAGCGCACCGGGGCGTCCATTCATGGCCTTCGTGCCCGCAGCACCGTAAAGCAAAACAAAAGCCAATTAAAGAAGAGGAATGGGGCCATGGGGGGGGGGGTGTCTTTGCGTGGCCCCTGCAGGCCGAGCAGTCCTACGGCAATAAATCAAACACACGTAGCACACTTCTGGAATGGGGTGGAGTCACTGCGGCACACTGTCGAGGCAGGTCATGTGACAACTTTTTTCTTTTTTTTTCCTTCTACATTGACACGCCTTTGCCTCCGAGCCCCCAAACTGGCAGCCCATCCACAGCAAGGGAAATCGAAGAAAAACAAAATGAGCGGGGCCTTCCGGCAGTGGGCGGGGCAAGAAAGAGAGTGGTCGGCGTCCACTTTGAGCGTTCCGGGAGGGTCTTTGAGGGGCGGGTTTCCTGCTGTGGGCGCCGGCGCCACCTGCACCACACGCAACTTCAGTCGCACGCAAACACGCCCCCGCTGAGCCGCCATTCCGGGCCTCGGTCACAAGGTCAACTTGGCGGCAATTAGCCCCCGGCCAACGCTTTCAGGTCGGCGATATCGGCTGGGGACGGCAGAACAACACGCAAGACACCTGGGGGACT